GAGTTTGTAAAAACCTCTCAAGTGATTGTGTCGGGTCCGAACATCGAGAACCTGGCACGTTGGCGAGAGATAGGCATTGCAACCACGGACGATAACTACGAAGTGCTAGACAAGGCGGATATTATTTTCATATGCGTAAAGCCACATATTCTAACACCGATGGCTGCTCAATTATGTAGTCTACATTCCCCCACATTAAAAGACAAAGATAAACTTTTTGTGTCGGTGCTGGCCGGGGTTAATCTCAAGACATTGGAAGAGGTAACATGAGTTGAAAAATGTCAAATGGTTTATTATTCGTCAATATTTACAGAAATTTTCCTTTATTAATGGCCTAAAAATGATACGCACTATGCCCAACACACCCATGCAAATTGGCGAGGGCATTACTGTGTACACACCTGGTTCCTATGTAAAGCAACAGGATTTGGAGAAATTACACTTGATGTTAAACTCCCTGGGCATCGCCCAGCAAGTGCCGGAAGCTATGATAGATTCTGTTACAGGCGTAGCTGGTTGCGGGCCAGCATTTGTGTATACTATAATCGAGGCATTGGCTGATGGTGGTGTTAAGCAGGGGGTGCCAAGACAAATGGCGCTGCAATTTGCGGCACAAATGCTGCTGGGATCTGCTAAAATGGTAATGCTGACTGGTAAACATCCAGCGGTGTTACGAGATGAGGTACCTTGTTCACTTTATAATGAAATGGCACATTTTAATTTTGCTTTGCACATATTTTTCAAAAATAGGTTTGTTCCCCTGGCGGTGCAACTATTGTAGGTGTGCATGAACTGGAAAAAGGCAACTTGCGGTAACAGAATACTTCCCCTTGTTCAATCTTATAAAGTTTCATTTAATTTTTTCTCTAGTGCAACGCTAATCAATGCAGTAGAAAAATCAAGTCAACGTGCAGCTGAGCTTGGCAAGAAATAAACGTGCGGCTACACTCATTCCCATCCAGTAAAATAAAGCATTTGTGACAATTTCACCATGGAAAAAACTCTCGAACATTCATACCTTTATTCGGTAAAGGCAATTTTTCATAATTTACGTCTAATCATACTTATTAGCTAAATAATTAAATAAAAAGATTCGTGTTCGCATTTGCAAAGCTGATTATATGCGATCCTTTTTGCTTACGTACTCCACACATTTTGAGGGATCAGTTGGAAAATATTCTTGGCATTTGGTCATCAGCCGCTTCAGCCCCTGGATGTATTTCCGTTGAGTTTCATCGTTCATCACGTGCGCAACATTCTTTGAGAAAATCTTTTCTCGACCTGTACGTGCGTGTATACCCACCATTGTCACACCAATCGGCCATGGCGCATTTCCTATAGCCATCTCCAGATAAGCATCACTGGCAGTGATATAGTCGCGATTGAGCAGACGTTTACAAATATCACGTAAACTATCCAATATATCCTCTGGCAAAGTGTGATGCTTTAGTTTACGGAATAAAGGTTTGACATACTCGCGAGTCTGGGTGAAAATGACGCGAGCCATTTTTGTTTTGGTGGACATTTTCTCTTGTTTGGAATAAGTGGCGATTTGGTCATTCCACATTTTAAGCAAAAAAGTTAACAAAGTTATAATAACATCCATGTCATATTCTTTGTTACCACGGCCCATTTTGACAGCACTCGCTTTAATGCTATCCCACGTTATTGTTTCATCCAGTTCGGCCAAATCCGATTTTTGTTCCTCTTTGGCTGTTGGTGCATTGGCAAACATTTCCTGTAAGTATGCTTGATCTACTTGCTCCATGGCTTCTTGGAAATCATTGCGGAATCCACGGTTCGACTCAGGCTGTGAGATTTCGCACTGCCGCAAACGATGGAAAGCATCCGCTTCGGACTCGCCAAAAATGAGAATTGGCTCGCCACGTTCGCGCAAGCGTCGTATAACTTCGGAGCGAGGAAGAACATTTTGCCCTTCCGAGTCATAGCTGTAGTGCCCTTCTGGTGCTTGGTCTTCCTCACGGCTTTCTTGTTTCTTATAGCCAACCTTTTGTAGGATCTCTTCAGTATTCTTAGCAATGAGTTCGCCCCGTCTAAAATATTTTTTCTTGTCATCGACAAGTTGCTTTTCCTCAAGCAATTTGCGTTTCCTTGCAATTTCAGCTTTAATTATATCCATCTTGTAAATACTTTCTTTACTTTTTTCCTGTAAGATTTTATTTATTTACGTACATTCTTTATCAAAATTTTATTTATGATTTTCCTTTTAAGTGACATTCCGATCAGCTGTTTTCACAGTGTTGACACACGACTCAAACAATTATTTAGCCGTCGGAATGAGGCAACCCTGTAATAAATTTGGAAATGTCAAAATCTGTATAATTATGCGAATTTACGGATTACGGTGTGCCAGAAAGTTAATTAAACGCGATTAGACAAAAGAAAACAAACAAAAATCTCAAAAATATATCAAAAATGCCAAAGAAAATGGGAACTAATTCGAAGGCAGTGGAGGCCCGCGAACGCAAGCAGGCTGTGAAACAAGCCAATAATGAACGGGCAGTGAAGGAGGCTGAGGATCGACTCTGGCAGGACAATGATCGAAGTCTAGCTAAGAAGCAACAGCGTCGTGAGGAGGAGGAAAAGAAGCGTGCTGAAGCTTTGCGACGAAAGGCGGAAGCAAAGGTAGGTGTCAGTCCATAGTTTACGTTGACTATGAACAAATATATAAAGGCACATTTTTATAACAGGCGTTACTTGATCAAGAAATGTCTTCAATTAAGACACAAGGTAAACAGCCGCTGGCAAAGATTCATCGTCAACAAATCTTGGAAGAGATGGAAAAGAAACAACGTGTTATCGAAGCCATAAACGCAGCTAAGCCACAGGCGGGAGCACGCATAGTATTACCAGAGCCAGTCATCGAAGAAAACTTGAATCGATCTATGGCGGACGTAGAGATAGCGACAAATGTCGATCAAGCTTTGGCAGCTTTAAGGTAATATTCACATATACATTCATGTAATTGGTCTTGTATAGCTGATTGTCTGTGGTGTTTTCATGCATGGCAGTGTAAAAGACGACGAGGAAGACAAGCATCCTGAGAAGCGAATGCGTGCAGCTTATCGAGCATTTGAAGCAGCTAATCTCCCGCGTATTAAAGCGGAGAACCCATCGCTAAGGATGACACAA